AAGTGTTTTTCAGCTTTCCGTGTTAGCTAAAGACACGAAAGCCTCCGCACTAAAAAAAAAAAGATTTTAATTAATTCCTGGGAAAAGCCGAGCGTGGGTCCTACTACCCCTCAACTTTGCCCACGTGGAACCAGCCATATGAGCGGCGTTTACAAAAAAAAAAAAGCATTTTCTTTCTCTCTCTAGAAAGTCAAAAAAAGGAGACAGCCAAACACTGCCTTGTCACATCTCCGAGCTTTCTCTCTCTTCCTTTTGTTTCCGAGTAAGTCCATTTTCCATGTGCCCACTGTGTCTTTTCTCCCTACACGCCACCACCATCTCCTCCTCCGACGATTTCCAATTCCCAAATTTCCCCCAAAACCTAGGGTTAGGGTTTTCACAACACTCCGATCTTCTTCTCCGACCTCGGATCTGGAGCTGGAGGAACAACAGACGACTTCGGCTTCCCAAGAGCCCAACTCTGTTCACGAATCGATGCCGGAAATCGATCTCATGAGAGTCGTCGATAAATGCGTCGCTGATGTGAAATTGAACGATTCTTCTCCTTCTCCGATGATGATTGAAGAGGAGGCTCCGGGTTTTGAGGGATTCGACGGTGGTTCGGTTGATGTGGAGGTGAAGCTAGAAGAAGATTCCGATTGTTTGAAGAAAAGCACCGGGAAGTCGGTTAGACGCGGTCGACCTCCGAGAACACTTGCTAAAGCTTCTTCTTCTACTTCGTCTCCGGTTTCTGCTACGTCTCAGTCGAGGAAGAGGAGAGAAGACGAAGATGTTTGTTTTGTTTGCTTCGATGGTGGTAGTCTTGTTCTCTGCGATCGTAGGTGAGTGAAGTTTGAGCTTTAGAGAAGAAACTTGAAGCTGAAATTTACTTAGTAGAGATTTCTGCTTCCAAATATAGAAAGTTTTTTGTTGTTTTGATTGATTTTTTTGGCTTTCTTATTATGTCAGGGGATGTCCAAAGGTTTATCACCCAGCTTGTGTTAAGCGAACTGAAGCATTCTTCAGATCAAGAGCTAAATGGAATTGTGGTAAGTTGTTCTGATTCATTTACTTTTTCTCTGTGTTTTAATAATGCATTTTGATACATTACCAAGATTGAAGAAATTAGTTGAATTTCTTCGAGATTTGGCGTGTTGGTTTTTCGATTTGTTTTGAGAGTTAG